CTCTGGAAGACCACACTTTGCTGTCCCAAGTTCCCAGCAGCCTAGAAGAACATTCCAACGTTTCTTGCACTTGAAAGGTTGCTGTCCAAGATCTGTCCAAGACCAAACTGCTGCTGTCCAGAGAAATTCTGCATCTCTTCCTGCTGTCCAGCCAGTTGCATCCTGGGACGACCGTCATCCTCCACCTCTCCGGCCACCTTTCCTAGAACGACGATCTTAGGCTCCTTCTTCCTCGGAGTGACCTCGATTCTAATGTGGAGATTCTTCTTCCGCTAAAGCCTAGATTAGTTGAGCGTAAGGGCTCCAAAGATGAAAGTTCTCTTTATTAAATCATGGATTCTTGTTTACCGTCGTAGCATACAATTATTCTTAGTGTTTTCTTAAATTGTTTGGTTAATCGATGCCACTCTTCGTTGCCTAAACGAGTCAAAACTAAGAGTTCTAAGGATCACTCTTTTATTACAAATGATAATTTTAATTTGGCTTACTTTGTTCAAATTGCTCTCTATAATTTCCTAAAGTAACTCCATCGCATGTACGTATCACATCAGAGAGAGAGGAGAAAAAAGGAGGAAGAGATGGAGAGAGAAATGAAACAAGAGAGAAAAAGATGGAGAGAGAGAATGAAAGAGAGAGAGAATAGGATAGAGATAAAGAGAGATGAATAGAGGGAGTGAGAAAGAGAGTAAGAAAAAAGAAAGAGAGAGATGCAGAGAAAGCATGTTGGAGAGCAGGTTAGAGAGAAGGGGAGGGGGGTGTTGGCGATGGTGAAGTTGAGCAATAGTGACAGAGCGGTTAGATGGCTACGATGTTGGGAATATGGAGGTGCAACAGGTGGCGACTAAAGCGACTTGGATTGTGGCGAGATAGGCATAAGACAATAGGTTAATTGTCGGCTGCGAAGGTTCTGAGGTCATTGGTCACACAAGGTGTTGAGCAGGGAGCGGGTAGTGGAGGAGGGAAAAAATATAGGGAGTGTTAGGGAGAGATTGAGAGACTGATAGGGAGAGAACAGGTCTTGACCTGTTTCTTGGGAGAAGAAAAGGAGAAGCAAGGGTGGTCGTGCGTGCGAGAGGGATGGGATTGCCGTGGGTTGCAGGTAAGTGTGTGTCACGACCCGGCCCGGAGGCTCGAATTAATGAGGCGGGAACAAACGGTCGGACGGTAGGTAAAATTATATTTTTTTTCTAAATCTTTCTCTAATACACTATAAGTGCCACTAAAACTTAAAAAAAAAATTGATATAAAATGTATTAAATACCTTTCATTTGATGTATCGTGCTTATGATATATATTTTCTTTTCTTCTGCTCATTTTACTTTTATATTAAATTATATATGAAAATGTTAGAGTAACCAAAAGTAAGTCACAACTCAGTGAGTAAAACATGCTTCCAAATTACAGGAACTCAAGGCAATTGGAATAATATACATGATTCCTTTTTCATTTCATATCATAAAATAATTACATTTAATCATATCATTTTATCAAGGCTTTCAATGTTATGCATAAATCATATATGTCTTATATATCATATTTATATTCATATTTTTCTCATTTCTCATAAATAATACAACCATCATTGGAGCCACCGTCGAATTTAGTACCATTAAAGGTACTCTTTTTCCATTTTCATCTCTTTTTTCTTTTTCATAACCTTTTTCATTAATGTGTAGGGTATATTGTGTCGGGGGTGTGCTCCATTAGTCAACATGCACATATAATCATATCTATCTAATCATTTCTTTTTTATAACATTCATGAACTTTATATGATAATTTAAAATATAACTTTAAAAATATTTATTTAATTTAGCATGATCTATCATTGAGTATGAGAATCATAAATCATGATCTAATTTACAATAAATATTTCATAAGTATGTATTATCTTCCAAAACATTTAATTGAAGAGAAAATAAAATTATCATTGTAACTAAAGAAATATGAGTACTCACCTTGAAATTGTTTGTTTGTGTTTTGAAAAGATGTAATCTTATCTGAGAAATTTGAGTTTAAACGTTACAGTCTCAGAATCGAATATCTCGTTATAAACAATATATTGCCCCTTAAGGTAAAGATATTATCTGCTAACGGATTCAGATGATGAAACTGGAAGTTGTCATCCCGATTGTAGTAATTGAATTCTAATAAGAATCACATACGATCCCAAAGGGTCGAAATGAGATTCTATCAATATTCAAACGCTAATTCGGATGGGAGATGATTAATCTCATATTCCATAGCACAATAATGAATGATATATCTTTCCAAAGAGAGAAAATATCATTTATTATCGATCGATGTAACATGACGATAATGATCACTATTGACTTGATTTTCCCTAAAGAATATTATTTTTAAATTTTGAAAATTGATTTTA